GCCTTAAAAGTCCTCAGGGACCTTCCCTGACTGCTCTCCTTCCCAACCAACCTGGGTTAGGCTTCCCATTAGCTGTCCACAGCATTTATAGCAATAGTAATTAATTGCTTGTTTAATGGATGTCTTCCCCACAAGACTATAACCACATGAGTGCAAGGACTGAATCAGCTTTGTTCATTGCTGTATCTCCAGCACCCAGCAGTGCTCAGCACACAGTAGGAGCTCAAAAATTCTTGTCAAATAAACGAATAACAGGGCCAAAAAAACCATCAGCTTCGGTAATTCTACTTATAATTTACCCTACAGATAAAGTCCCACATGCAAACGGCCAAATATATATGGTTATTCACTGGAGCACAGTTTGTAATAGCAAGACTGGAAACATTTAAAATGTCTACCAGTATAGGGCAGATGCCAAATCTCTTTATTGCTTATACAAAATGATTGCCAAAATAAGTTAAAAACAATGTAGATAGTGAAAAAGCAAGAAATATATATATTTGTTTTATAAGTACATGGTATCTCCAGAAAGGATCTTAAGAAACTGATAATATCAGTTGCCTCTGGGAAGATGAACTGGATAAGAAGACAAGGGTAGAAGGTAGACTTCAGTGTATATACCCTTTTACCTTTCAATTTTTGAACCATGTGAATGTATTATCCATTTAAAAAATAAAACTTGCTAAAGACAATCCTGTCCTTATTTCTAAGACAATGATGGAAAGAGTTTAAATATCTCATACCTAGACCTTTAATGATAAACATCCTGCCTACTAGCTGAACAGTGGGAGGGTGGAAGTGGAAAGAAGAAAAACTCACTTATCCACAAATCTCAGACAGCTTGCCCCATACTAGCCCGTACTATTTTAGAAGACAATTCCTTTTCTTTTTTAACAACCAACTGTCCCAATCGGGACATATGGAGAATGTTTTCATAGTCAGAAGGGATTACTGGGAGGAAAAAAAGGGATTATTGGATTCAGCATTTCTATAAACACAGAAAGTAGGTTGATGAATCTGTACCGAAGAAGTATCATAAATACTGACTAAAAACAAATTGTTTTCACTGAGGGGCCACAAAATCTAAATGGAGCTTAATGTGAATCCACAGTTTAAGAAACTAAAATTTTTTTGAAAACCAATTATAAGAAGGGGGAGGAAATCTACACACATTCCTTAGATATACAAATTCGCCAAACTTCAAGACACTCTTCAAGAAAGAAAGATCTGAGACTAAACACAACTCCAACAATCATATTTGTTACCACAATCAAAGCCATGGACCAGAGTCAAAACCTCTGGATCTGAACCTATTAGTTTCCCAAACCCGCATATGAGGAACAGAATACCCTGGACTAATGATGGCAGGAGAAAGCTCAATCCAGGGCCACCACCGAGACAATTTGTGTTGGGGCTTTCTCCAATGTTACGCTGTCATATACCGTAAGAAATGATCTTCATAATCCATCCCAAGACTTATCAGAGACACAGTTATCTTCAACTAATTATTCTCTGAAAAACAAAAGAGTATTTACTAAGTAGAACACACTGAAAAGGGCACTTACTAAGTAGAACTAAGTATTTAGTACAGCCATCCTAAATTGTTTTGCCAAGTCTAAATGGCAAGTTAGGAGCCAATTCCTGGCTTCCCTATACGATAACTTATTTGCCTCCACCAGCTCTTTCTTCTTAAGACATCTAAGACTGACACAGGCATTAGCAAACATATCACCTTTTTTTCCTTCTAACAGTTTTTCTCCATAAAGTTCTATTCAGCATTTTTAAATACCCCTCTATAATAAGACCAAGAAGTGCTCGTAAGTTTAGCCTGTGGCTCCCCAGGCTCAAAAGCCCATGAGAGTGGGGCAAAAAAAAAGTCAGAAATACTCTCTCTCTTCCTTGATGCCCTGGCCTTTCAAAGCTGAGCAAAGGCAATGATTCTGCATTTAATCACAGATGAATAAGAAACAGGTCTGAATTAAGAAGAACCATAAAGGAGCGCAAGAACATTCAGTCAAGAGCACTGCCTCTGTCCCCCTGCAGAGCAGCTCTCAGGATCTGCCAATGAACCTCATTTAGACACGGAACACTCCAACTACTCTAATCCAGAGCATATCCCTCAAGAGACGGTCAGTCAACCGGAACTCTGCCAACTTCTGCTCTGGAGTTGTGTGAAGAACAGTAGCAACAAAAGCCTACTTTGAGAAGGAGATCAACAATCACGCTCAAGAAGAAAAGAAGTTATTTGGCAAAGTGAAGCATGTTGCCAAAATGTTAGTCACAGCTTCAAGGTCCCAGTTTGTGTCTCAGCAACTATTCTTTGCTTTGACAGAGTCCATTCTCTGGCCCAGGAAATCCAGCTCAGCTTCTGTTAACTCTCCCCATTTGAAGCAGTCAAAAATCCTTTCAATTTGGCGGTATCAAACTGTGACACAGACAAGATGTCCAACAGAAACTAAAGAGGAAAAAAATGTGTAATTTGCCGTTTTCCACCTAGGACTGGCTCAAGTAGAGCAATGGAAAAACAGGACAGGATAGGAAAAACGGAAAATCATTATGTTAAAGAAGCAGACTACTCCAAAAGCTTGCCCAGAGCTCTGAGCCTCCATAATTTATTTCAAAACCCTCTTAAAAACAAACCAAAAAGACAAACTGTAGGTTGAAATGACAGCAAAATATTAAGCAGGTTTCACCCCCAAATAAGTGTATATACATCATAGCCTGGGGCTCTTCCTGGGATTAGTATGAAGACTATGGCTGCTGAAACAACCTGAACCAGCAGCCCATGATTTTCAGAACTATTTCAGAGCAACAGGAAAACAGACTCAGTGTACCAGGTCACTCTCCCAATCAAAGAACCCAAGAAGTCAAGAAAGAACATCTGACAATTTTCTCTTCAATAGGAACAGGACTCCTCTCTTCCCTTCTTAAAAGCCATCGGTAAAACCTGAAAATTCCACGTTCTCAACCCCTTCCACATTCCCCTGCATTTCATCTTTGTGCTGACATCACATAACTAATCACTACCAACTAAGGTAAACACTACTCAGATATCAAGTGTGAGGTAGAATTAGAAACTGCCCCCTCTTAAGCAAATCCACATCAGACCTCAGAAATGCCAAGACTTTCAGGACACTTCTTCTAAGCTAAACAAGTTCACCTATGTCCAAAGAAAAGCTGAAACAGTCAAGATTTCAAAGATTAACAATAAAGAAGCTAAAATTGTCCAGAAGCACACTGGTCCTCCCCAACCGGCAACCAGTGCAAAGTGATTGGACCAAATCACAGGGTTCAACTGTCTAAAATACTACTTCTCAGTGAATTCTCAAAGAGTTCATGAGGAAAGTCAGTGTTTGTCAAAGAGTAAAATACACTGGTGGCTAGAAAATAAAACACTGCATTCTTCCGCATTCTCCATCAACCGACCTCATTCACCCCCAACTCTTAACTTCCCTATCTCCATCTTGTTGGCTGTCAATACAACGTAACACAATAATATGAAATTTTTGGCTACTAAACGTTGACTTTGAGAAAACTTAAAAAATTGGACACGTATCAAATCAAAATCAACTATGCCCTGGTACAAAAAAAAAATGCAACAAGGCTGAGAGAAAGAAACTGAGAAAGACCTGTCTTCTTTTTTTTTTTAAAGATTTTATTTATTTATTATTTTTCCCCCTAAAGCCCCAGTAGATAGTTGTATGTCATAGCTGCACATCCTTCTAGTTGCTGTATGTGGGACGCGGCCTCAGCATGGCCGGAGAAGCGGTGCGTTGGTGCGCGCCCAGGATCCGAACCCGGGCCGCCAGCAGCGGAGCGCGCGCACGTAACCGCTAAGCCACCGGGCCGGCCCATGAGAAAGACCTGTCTTCTAAATATCAGTATCTCAATCTTGTTTTCGGGGATCACTTCTTTGCAACCACTTCAAAGATCCCATTTGGTTAACACAATCTTTTAGAGGCAGAGAGGGACCACACCTACATTTCAAAGGGGAAAACATGAGACAGTTGAATGATTTGCCTCAAAGTTAGTAAATCCGTAGGTGGGCTAGGACTGTCCTTATTCCCTGAGTTTCTCTTTTGGTTTGTAAAAGGAGACAAAAGTCACCAAAACATTCAGTAGGTCATTCAGAAACAGAAACTATAAGGCAAAAATAACAGCATGAAAAAGGAGGTGGATCCTGAGAGTGCCCAAAGCAGTAACAAATTACTCAAATCCTTTAAAAATATGAATTCCAGTAGACATCAGCTTCTGCCAGTTCCTCACCCCAGTGTTATCTTCTAACAATTTTACTTCCTGATCAGTAACTCAACAGCACACTGCCCAAGTTTAACACTTGAAGATTTCCATCTTCCTCACTTCACACCACTCCAACCTAAACTCTCAACTCTAGGTTGCTCCCAAGTGCATCTCAACATTTCTCAAGCCGACCTTTAACTCAATTCTGACTCCTTCTCAACTAACGCTCTTAAGATTCCCTCTAGTATAAGCAGTCTCCCGAGTCATCCTCTCAACCACTGGTTTTCACTCAACTCAGTCCCCAAAATGTCCCAGCGGCCTCCTCACCCGGGCATCCTGTTAATTACCTGTTCCCAACAGGTCCTCCCGCCCCATCTCCCTTTTTGCGCACGGTTACCTCGTTCCTCACCCTGAGTTGCCGTCTTACTCACCTTACCCAACCCTTCAGGATCCCTTATTTCCTGTCTCTCAATAACCTTCCTCCCCATTTTCACAGTCAGCGCTCGCCCCACACCAATTCCCGACCACTCCTCCCTACTCCGATTCCCCACGCTCCCTCTCCTCCAGGTTCTTCAGACCCAGCCCCAGTTCCCACTCCCCTCAGGCCCCGCCCCCAAGACCCCCTCGCTCTCTTAGGCCCCTCCTCCAATGCCCCCCTCTCCTCACGCTCCGCCCCAACCCCCCCTCCCCTGGCTCTCCCTCCCCCTCAGGTCCGCAGGTCATCTCAGCGACAGACCCAGCCTCCTCGGCCTCTTTCCGACCTGGCCGCAGCGGCTCCGGGAGCGAATCCTCCGCCAAATCCGCTCCACCGTCGTCCCGTCCTGCTCGCCCCCCAGCAAGCTCCCTTTCTCGCCGCCGCCGCCCCTTTTGCCAACCCGGAAATGGATCTGCTCCCACCGTCCTCAGCGTCCGCGAACAAAATGGAGGCGGGGGAAAAAGGAGGAGGGAGCAGGGAGCGAAGAGACGCTACACGCATGCGCCCCTGGAAAGCCCTCCCCCTACCGACGCACGTAAAGGCGGAAGCGGTCTGGTGGCAGCCATCTTGGGAAGGTCGTAAGAACTCCGTTTACCACCTAAGAGAGGAGTTTGCAACTTTGACTGCAATTGGAATCACCTGGGAAGACTTAACTAAATAGTAATTCCTGAGTTCCACCCTCAGAGATTCTGATTTAACTGGTCTCGGGTACGGCCTAGGCGTCAGAACTTTTAAAAGTGTGCAGGTGATTCTAACACGTTGCCGAGGTGGAGAATCACTGAGCTAAAGTCTTGAATATACCTCTTTTTCGTCTTTATTCTACCGCGCACGAGCGCGCGCGCACACACACATACACACCAGACACCATAAACGTCGTTTCTTAGGTTCAAGTTAACGAAGAACTCGCCTCAGTCCACCTCGCAAGGGCCCAGTACTCAAGCTCCGATTGTCATAGCAACAGACAGGCCCCCTGCTAACAAATCATCCTTAACGTCATCTTAGCCACCTGAGCTGAACACCCGTGAATATCCATCTCCTCTTTGGCGGCTGAGGGTTCCCCAGTTTCCAGGGCTGGGGGATGGTGCTGTGGACTCCTCCAGCTGTTTGAGTCAGGGAGAGGAATCCTGTGCCCTTCGTGGTGAGGCTGCCATTAACTCCGTCCTGGCTGACTGAGGATCCCTCTCTAGTCCACCCGCAAAAGTGATTTTCCACTGAAGCCAATCTCATTGCCTTATATCCTCAAAATGCTCTTCAGGTCTCTCCATCATCCTTCCGTGCGCTGAATCCGAAGTAACAGACAGGGTTGGGACTTAGTTCCCACTACTTAACATGTACCATTGGGCCTCAGCTACCCTATCTGTAAAATGGGGCTAATAGTGCCTGTCCCGACTGTTTCATAGGGTTGTTGGAGGGCTCAAATCAGGTAACGAATGGGAAGGCATATGATAAACCATAAATTGTTGTTATTTTTGTTTTCCTTCTGTTCTGCCATGAGTAGTGCTGGGCACCACCCTAGTCAAATAAATGTCGCAGCGTTCATTGAGTAGCTGCTGTAGGCCAGCTACTGGGCTAGGCACCAGGAGATGGCTACAGAGGTGACTAAGACAGAGCCTCTGCCCTCAGGGAACTCCCTTCATGGTGGGCAGACTGGCATGTAAACAGCTAACTGAGATACAAGTCAGCATGTGATTAGTGCCATGGGGACATATCTGCTGTGGGACATCAGACAAGGGAGCGATTAATTCCTGCTAAAGAATGAGAGAAGGTTTCGTAAATGGTTTTGAACTGGGCCTTGAAGGATGAGTAGAATTTTATTATTAATCAGAGAAGGCAGGAAACACATTCCCGACATAGGGATTATGGATACAAAGGTAAAGATTTTCAGGTATGTAGTCCTGCATGCCTGAAGGCGGGGTGATTGGGCCAGGGAGATGGTGGATCTAAACTCCTAGTTCTTCAACCTCATCACCATCCTGTCCCCTCCTGGCTCACTATACACTGTGTGGACCTGCTTTCTATCACTGCAATACACCAAGAGTTTCCTCAAGGCCTTTGCATTGGCTGTACTTTGCCTCTTCCTCATTTTCCAGGCCTTAGCTCAAATGTTCCCTCCTCAGAGGGCATTCCCTGCTCACTGTAGTTCATGTAAGCCCCCCATTCTCTGTGACATCACTCCATGATGAGGGCAGCCACTGGGGTGGAATACAGGGACATCTCACCCAGAATTGGGGTGAAGAAATACTTCATGAAGAAAGTAATATCTAAGTGAGGCCTGACGGGTAAGCAGGAATTGGCCAGAGGCGAGGGAAAGCATTCCAGGGCAGAGGGAAAGTACGTGCAAAACAGAAGTATCATGGCACATTCCAAAAGCTGAAAGCATTTTGATGTGCTTAGAGCTAGAACTTATGGGAGAAGCAAGAAATTAAGTCAAAGAAGTAATCATAACATCTGACATTTATTGACACCATGTCCCAGGCACTATCATAACTTCACATGTCATAACTCATTTAATCCTCACAAGAACTTTCTGAGGTAGGTAATATCACCCTCATTCTACAGATGAAGAAACAGATACAGTGAGGTTAACCATCTTGCCCAAAGTCACATACCTACAAAGTAGCAGAACTTCCTCCAGAGTCTGTTCTGTTTATGCCCATACCAAGTGATCCTGCGCCCTACCAGACCCAATGTCCCTGTATTATAACAATATTTTGTAACTCAGCTTTACTATCCTGAAGTGAAATTAACAGATTATACAACCTATCTGATTTCAGAATACATGATTTCAGAAAACAAATCAATAGAATGCCCTGACTATAAAGAAGACAAGAGGAAAAGGCATTTCAATATGGCAATGTTCAAGCACCACTACACTGGAAGATATATAGTGCAATAGTCAGATGCTTGCACTCATACCTAGAATCACTAAGAGTGTGACAGGGACAAACGCAGACTGACCTAAGGGATTATATTGGGCAGTGTCATTTGTGGTTTTCCAAAATGGTGAACAACTCTTGTTAAAGTTCTGAACAACACAGTAGTTGTATTCCTAAAAAACATAGGTTTTATTAAATATGTGCAAAAATATTTTGTGTCTGTACTTTACTTTTCCCATAATATGACAGGCTAAGTACCTGGGAGAACTTCTCCCTAAAAACAACTCAAAATCCTGGATACAATACTGAAAAATCAGGGCCCGCCCGGTGGCGTAGTGGTTAATTTTGCCCTTGGCTTCCATGGCTTGGGGTTCACAGGTTCAGATCCTGGGCGCGGACCTCTGTACCGCTCATCAAGCCATGCTGTGGCAGCATTCCATATACAAAGAAGAGGAAGATGGGCACAGGTGTTAGCTCAGGGACAATCTTCAGCAAGCAAAAAGAGGAAGATTGGCAACAGATGTTAGCTCAGGGCCAATCTTCCTCACCCCCCCCAAAAAAGAAAACTAAAAAAATCTTAAATGCTTTGATGAAAAAGTAAGGAATTTTCAGGGCAAAACAAAGTAAGTGAAGGCAGATGATGTAGAGAGAGGTAAGTGGAACACTGAAGCAAGCTTTGCTCTGAGGATACTTGCCTAACTAGGTGAAATTGAACATTTGTCAGGGTCTCATGGGACACCTCTTCAACAGAGGAGTTTAACAGGAGATTCTCCTTCATAAAGATGGGATCTCAAAGGACTACATCCTTGTGGTAAGGGTGAACCAGAGATTAACCTGTCCCCTCTTCCCTTGGGTGTAGGGTTAATGGAGATAGATTGTAGGGTCAGATGATGATAAATAGATTTTTCACATAGAATGTCCAGTGGGACATTGAAAGTCATGTGGAACCCAGGTTAATTGTTGGTTGTGTGGAACCGTCCCTTGCATTGCAGCCTCTAGCATCCCTGACCCCTTCCAGCCAAATGCCTTATCATTGTGATCAGCAAAAAGGCCCCCACAAATTTCCAAAATGCCCCCGTGGAGAATCACTGCCCCATGCTACACTGTCAAGGTGACAGGGGACAATTTGTGAAGGACTTTATCATCTATTGTAAAAGGTTAGATTTTATCTTGAGGGCAAGAGGGAAACCACTGAAAAGGTTAAGCCAAGAAGTGCCATGACCCACTTTGCCTTCTAGAAAGATCACTCTGATTGCAGCGTGGAGGATGCATCAGATGGGACCAAGCTGGAGGCAGGAACGCCAGTTGGGAGGCTGCTGTGGAAGTCTAAGTGACAGGTGATGGTTGCCTGCAATGAGTAGCAGCTGGGCACTGGGTGGACGCAAAGGCTTTGGAGGCACGACTGCCTGTCTGCAGAGCCCAAGGCCTCAAGTCTTAGTTCTCCCCACTATTGAATAAAGTGAAATTTTGGGCAAGTTATTCAACCCCCATCAGCCTCGAGCTCCTCATCCACAAAATGGAGATAAGACTAAATGGAATGCATCCGAAGTGTGTATGCACTTAGAAAGCACTCACCAGTCTTACCCATGGTCATTATTAGGATATCAGCAGTAGAGATGGAGAGAAGTAATTCTAGAGATATTTAATAAATGGAAGTTGAGAGCTGAAGAGAGGGAGGAGCCAAATGATTCCCAAGTTTCTGGCTTGAATTCCTGTGTGCAGGTGATGCTAACACATAGCTGGAGAGAGTTGAGGAGGAAAAGGGGCTGGGGCCGTGAAGGAACCTGAGGAGCCTGGTGGGAGAGGGAAGGAAGAGAGGTCCAGTAGGCCACTGGATGTTTGGGTCTGGAACTTAGCAGAGCAATCCTAGCAATTTGGGACTTATAAACTGTGGTAGCTAGTCTCCAGAGACAGCCTGCATCAACCCAGGACTCCTTATATTCATTGAATCTGGCCTGGCCTGTGACTCCCTTTAATACAATAGAAGTGATGCTATACCAGGTCCAGAATTTAGCCTTAAGAAGACCTGGCAGCTTCCACTCTTTTGCTTTTGGGACCCCTAAGCTCCCATGTGAGAAGTCATCTACTCTGCTGTAGAGACCACCTGGAGGGAGCAGCTTTGACTTGGAGAAAGAGAAGTCCAGCTATCCAGCATTCCAGCTCACCACCAGGGTAAACCAGACATCTTGGACACTCCAGCTCGTCACCTTCTGAGTACAGTCATATGAGACACTCCAAGTGAGACAGCAGAACTGTCCAACTGAGCCCCCATCAACCCGGAGGATCATGAGAAGTTATAAAATGGCAGTTGTTTTAAGCTATTAACTTTTTTTTTTTTTTTTGAGGAAGATCAGCCCTGAGCTAACATCCATGCTAATCCTCCTCTTTTTGCTGAGGAAGACCGGCTCTGCGCTAATATCTATTGCCAATCCTCCTCCTTTTTTTCCCCCAAAGCCCCAGTAGATAGTTGTATGTCATAGTTGCACATCCTTCTAGTTGCTGTATGTGGGACGCGGCCTCAGCATGGCTGGAGAAGCGGTGCGTCGGTGCGCGTCTGGGATCGGAACCCAGGCCGCCAGTAGCG